GGCCCCAGCCGGCAGCTTGAAAGCCCTGATTGACTCTGATCAGCAGCCAGGCCTAGGGACCCTACCTCTGCATGAATTTAGTGCACTGGGTCTCTAATTGTGAATGTTTCCATGAACATTTGTGTGTGTAAGTGTTTGAGTACCTGTTTTCAATTCTTTGGGGTTTTCTGTTATGAGAGGAATTGCTAGATCATACGGTAATTTTTTTTTTTTTAAACTTTCTTTTTTTTTTTTTTAATATATTTTTTATTGATTTTTTACAGAGAGGAAGGGAGAGAGATAGGGAGTTAGAAACATCGATCAGCTGCCTCCTGCACATCTCCTACTGGGGATGTGCCCGCAACCCAGGTACATGCCCTTGACCGGAATTGAACCTGGGACCTTTCAGTCCACAGGCCGACGCTCTATCCACTGAGCCAAACCGGTTTCGGCGATCATACGGTAATTTTATTTTTAATGTTTTAGAGAGCCACCAAACTGTTTTCCATAGCGCCTGAACTATTTTACATTCCTACCAGCAATGTATTTGGGTTCTAATTTCTCTATATCTTCTCAGTGCTTGTTATTTTTAAAATTATAGCCATTCTAGTGGGTGTGAAGTGGAATCTCATGGTGGTTTTACTTTGCACTTCCCTAGTGCCTAATGATGTTGCATCTTTTCATGTGCCTGTTTGCTGTCTATATGTTTCCTTTGGATAAATTATGTTTGTTGTTGAGCTGTATGGGTTCTGTACATATTTTGGATATTTTAACCCTTATCAGGTAGATGACTTGCAAATATTTTCTCCCACTCTGTAGGTAGTCTTTTCACATTCTTAATAATGTCCCTTGATGCACAGAAGTTTTTAATTTTGATGAAGTTCTGTTTATCTAACAAAGGAGAAATCCTTGCCGAAACCGGTTTGGCTCAGTGGATAGAGCGTCGGCCTGCAGACTGAGAGGTCCCAGGTTCGATTCCGGTCAAGGGCATGTACCTGGGTTGCGGGCGCATCTCCGGTGGGAGATGTGCAGGAGGCAGCTGATCGATGTTTCTCTCTCATCGATGTTTCTAACTCTCTATCTCTCTCCCTTTCCTCTCTGTAAAAAATCAATAAAATACATTTAAAAAAAAAAAAAAAAAAAAGGAGAAATCCTTTGTTGCTCATGCTTTTGGTGTCATGTCTGAAATGAATTAAAAATCATGAAGGTTTATCACCATTTTATAGTTTTAGCTCTTACATTTAAGTTGTTGGCCCTTTTTGTATATTATGAAGCAGGAATCCAGTGAGGGCTCTTATTTAAAAACAAAATTTCAGGCAACTTTTTGACTACTTCTCGAATCTCTGTCTGGTCCAGCCTTCTCGCCTCCATTCTAGCCTCTACCATGTCCACAAGGGTGACCCAGAAGACCTACAAGGTGTCCACCTCTGGCCTCGGGCCTTCAGCAGCCACTCAATTCAAGTGGGCCTGGCACCCACATAAGCTCCTTGACCTTTTCCAAGGTGGGTGGCAGCTACCGGGTTGGCCTGGGTTCAACATGAATCTTGCTGGGGATTATGGCGGAGCTGGGAGTATGGAGAGCATCACAGCTCTCCAAGTGACCCAGAGTCTGCTGAGCCCTCTGAAGCTGGAGGTGGACTCCAACATCCAGGCCCGTGTGCAACCAAGAGAAGGAGCAGATCAACAGCCTCAACAAGTTTGCTTCCTTCAGTGATAAGGTGCGGAGCCTGGAGCAGTAGAATAAGATTCTGAGACCAAGTGGAACCTCCTGCAGCAGCAGAAGACGACTCGCAGTAACATGAACAACATGTTTGAGAACTGTATCAACAACCTTCAGCGGCGTTGGCTCAGGAGAAACTGAGTCTAGAGGTGGAGTTTGGTGACATGCAGGGGCTGGTGGAGGACTTGAAGAATAAGTAGGAGGATGAGATTAGCAAGCACACAGAGATGGAGAATGAATTTGTCTTCATCGAGAAGAATGTGGATGTAGCTTACACAAACAAGGTAGAGCTGGAGTCCTGCCTGGAAGGACTGACTGATGAGATCAACTTCAGGCAGCTGTATGAAGAGGAGACTGGTTAGTTGGAGGCCCCGATCTCCGACATGTCTGGTACTGTCCATGGGCAACAACCACTCCCTGGACCTATATGGCATCATTGCAGAGGTCAAAGCTCAGTAGGAGGAGATGGCTAATTGCAGCCATGCCGAGGCTGAGACCATGTACCGGATCAAGTGTGAGGAGCTGGGAAGCACAGGCATGACAAAGACTGGGATTTCCCTTTCTTTCTTTCTTTCTTTCTTTCTTCTTTCTTTCTTCTTTCTTTCTTTCTTTCTTTCTTTCTTTCTTCCTTCCTTCCTTCCTTCCTTCCTTCCTTCCTTCCTTCCTTCCTTCCTTCCTCCTTCCTCCCTCCCTCCCTCCCTCCCTCCCTCCCTCTCTCTCTCTCTCTCTCTCTCCCCCCTTCTTTCCTTCCCTCCCTCCCTCCCTCCCTCCCTCCCTCCCTCCCTTCCTTCCTCTTTAATATATTTTTATTGATTTCATAGAGGAAGGGAGAGAGATATAGAAACATCAATGATGAGAGAGAATCATTGATTAGCTGCCTCCTGCATTCCTCCTACTGGGGATTGAGCCCACAATCCGGGCATGTGCCCTTGACTGGAATTGAACCTGGCACCCTTCAGTCTGCAGGCCGACGCTCTATCCACTGAGCCAGAATGGCTAGGGCAAGACTAAGATTTCTGAGATGAACCAGAACATCAGCCAACTCCAGGCTGAGATCGAGGGCCTCAAAAGCCAGAAGACTTCCCTGGAGGCTGCTATAGCTGATGCTGATAAGCATGGGGAGCTGGCTGTCCAGGATGCTCAAGCCAAGGTGGCTGAGCTGGAAGCCACTCTGAGAACTGGCAGCTGTGTGAGTACCAGGAGGAACACATGGACGTCAGGCTGGCCCTGGGCATGGAGATTGCCACCTATACCAAGCTGCTGGATGGTGAAAAGAACCAGCTGGAGAGTCGGATTCAGAACCTGAGTGTCCATACCAACACCACCACTCGCTATCAGTTGTGTTGAGCCTGGCTTATCGGAACCTCAGCTATGGCCTGGGCTTCCAGCCCAACTTAGTCTCTGGCAGGAGTCCTGGCTCCTTCAGCCGCACCAGCACCAGCTCCTTCAGAATGGTGGTTGTGAAGAAGATTGAGACCCTGATGGGAAGCTGGTGTCTAAGTCATTGGATGTCCTGCCCAAGTGACTGACTACTGTGGCCCTCCTGTCCTCCATGCTTGTGGAAAAAGCTGTGCAGGGGACAGCCCCTTGGGGTAGGGTAGTTTACTGCTTGGGGGACCACCTCTTACCCATGCCCCCAACTAAAAGCCAAATCAAGTGTTTTTTCCCAAAATAAAGTCTCAGCTGGGTCTGCCAACCCTAAAAAAAGTGATAATAATAAAATAAAAATTTCATGAAACCTCCACATTGTACTTTTAATATCTCCTGGTTTAAACATATATACATACCAACCAAAAGCCACTGTGGATTTTATTTTCTTTTGCATTGTATTAATCAGAGCAGAAGTTACATATATTTAAAAAAAAGTACTTGTAAGTATAGCACATTTTCTCAGTTCATAGGCTATATATTGGTGACTATATATGGATTCATGAATTTACTTCTTGTAACTCTTTGGTCCCCTTAGGCGTGCAGATCACAGATTTTGTAGAGGAGCATCAGAATATCTATGATGACAGGTAGTAAGGGGATTAAGGATGACGAAAAGGGTAAAATTTCCAAGGCCTCATAGATGCAGAGACCCCAAAGGGGAGAGAGGAAATGACTGGAAGGTAGGTAACTGGAAGTCAGTGGTGGAATCTGTAAAGGCTACAGAGGAAGTAGTATTTCTTTTAGGCAACAAAGATGACAGCAGAGTAGAAGTTAAGTGCTGAGGGTGGGCTAGAGTGAAGGGGTAGGTAAGGAATATGGTTTGCGATATTTTAGTCAGATGATATTCAACGTACATGCTCCAAGTTTCTGAGCCATGTCCTGTATATGGTTTGCGATAAGGATGGAGGCTCAAAAGACATCATCAGAAAGTGATGATTTAGGGAGCAGTTGAGGATTCCTTTAGTTTTAGAAATAATGCCAACCCAACTCTGCTCCCAAATGAGTGCAGCTAACTTTGTTGAGCATGTGTCCCAGAGCGGGGTAAGGAAGAGGGACTAGGGAAATTCCAGATTTTATTTTAGCTTTGACTAAAATGCTGGTTTGGGGGGGGGGGGGTGGCCGGGGAGAGGTCAATGGGGGAAAAAGGAGACATATGTAATACTATATGTAATACTTTAAACAATAAAGAATTTTAAGTAAATAATAAATAAAATGCTGGTTAAGTTTGAATTAGTAAACTGAATTCTATATCAATATGTCTGTGTCTTTGTGTGCTTTGCTTTTCACTTCTTACTAAAATTTCCTAGTAAAAAATTTCAGTTTTATCTCAGCTGAAAGCATGATGAAAAGAAATATTCTACATTTCATGCAGATGAGAGAATTAGGTTTTCAGTGCACACGTAGGGCCTAGGGTGGCACGTTGTATGGGCCTGTGGCCATCTGATGGAGCAGGAGCTGGACACAGAAGGGAAGGTGTTGGGACTGTGGTAGCAACCTTGGCTAAGGCGTCTTTCCTTCTGGCCAGCCCTTCACAGCACTCACAAGCTCATCATAGACAATCTCTATTTTTTGTCAGCTCTGTGTCCAGTGGGTTTAGAAAAAGGAATGAAGGATGGGATGGATGGAATAATGGACAGAATCCGAAGGGAAAGCAGGGGTAATGGCCATTGGTTTAGATGCCCTCCTGCTTTTGCTAGGCAGATGGCCTACTTTTTCAAAGAGAAATGAAAGCTGCCTTGCAAGAAGTGATTTGGAGAGGTATAAACAAAGGGGTCTTAGGTATTTTTACTTTTATGGTGTTTAAACTCTGAATTTGTATGAATGTATCTTTTGAGTTTTTAACCACCCATGTGACCTGTGTGATTTCCAGGTGCTACTGGTGAGCAGTAGTCGCCATCCAGACCGGTGGATTGTCCCTGGAGGAGGCATGGAGCCTGAGGAGGAGCCGAGCGTGGCAGCAGTCCGGGAAGTCTGCGAGGAGGTACGCACTGAGAAAAAAGAGCACGGCGTACCCCGTAATCGCGAGCCTGTGTGTCTGATAACATACTGATGATCGTAGAAAGAAGGCATTTGACAGTTACCATGTGCCTCCTTGATTAAAGAGGAGATCAGGTTGTGACATGGTAGTGTTTATCAGGCACCCCTCTACGCAGGAAGGGTTCTCACAGAATCACTGTATCTAATTATACTAGACAGCCCTGTGATTTCCCGGGGGTCTCTTCCAGTGTGGCATCTCTTCCAGTGTGGCATCTCTTACCTGTGGCAGAAGATCAGGAATCAAATAGTTCATCAGCCCTAAGAACTGAGAAGAGCAGGCAGCCTTGGTATACATGGCTCATTCTCATTAGCCTTTGGATGAGGAGGTGGCAGCCCTTGTTCTCCTGTGCTCCCTGGGTCCTGGCTGTTGAGCAGTGGCTAAAGCAACACTTCTGTTAGCCAGAAGCTGTTAATGGTACAGCTCGAGAGATAACAGTATCTTTTTTATTTTATTTTAGTCAGATGATATTCAACGTACATGCTTCAAGTTTCTGAGCCATGCCCTGTATATCTAACTAGATACTCTAGAATAAGTAGTCAGAAGAAGTAAAGCCTTAGACCAGGGGTGGGCAAACTTTTTGACTCGAGGGCCACAATGGGTTCTTAAACTGGACCGGAGGGCCGGAACAAAAGCATGGATGGAGTGTTTGTGTGAACTAATATAAATTCAAAGTAAACATCATTACATAAAAGGGTACGGTCTTTTTTTTTTTTTTTTTTTTTTTTTTAGTTTTATTCATTTCAAACAGGCCGGATCCGGCCCGTGGGCCGTAGTTTGCCCACGGCTGCCTTAGACCCTTACTCCCCTACTTCAAGAGCTTACAGTTAGGTTGTAGAAACTGAGAGATTGCAATTCAAAACCAGGAGGAAGGAACTAATGTTACTCCACAGTTTCTTGTGGCAACACCATCCTCTGCTCTGCTTCTGTTATCTCAGTTAGATTCCTAATTGGTGGTATAAGTTTCATCACCCCCATTTACTTCCCCTCACCACAGTGTTTTAGATCCATTTCCTTGTTCCACAGGGGATGTAATACTGATTCTAAGAACATATAAAATAGCACTTAGAACAGGTCTAAATTCTACACTTCTTTTGCCTTACTCTGAAAGTTACTTCTCTCATCAAGTCTTTGTGATCCCCCCCAGTAGATTTGTTCTTCTTGCTTGTCCATTGTAGTCTGTACTTCCAGCATCATGGTGTCTGTCATCCTTTATTGGTACTGCTTGCTGTCTTCTGTGCTAGACTTGATGCTCTGTGTAGTCGGGTACCATTCTCTCTTGCTCACTGTTGAATCCCCAGGGCTTAACACAAAGCAAGTGCTTAAGAAAATATAATTTTTTTGCCCTGACTGGTGACTCAGTGGTTAGAGCGTTGACCTACTCACCAGAGGGTTTTGGGTTTGATTCTTGGTCAAGGGCACATATCTGAGTTGCAGGTCTGATCCCTACCTCAGGTCGGGGTGTGTGTGGGAAGCAAGCAATTGATATGTCCCTTTCACACTGATGTTTCTCTCTCTCTCTCTCTTCTCTCTCTCTCCACTCCTCCCCCCTTCCACTCTCTCTAAAAATGAATGGAAAAAATATCCTCACTCCTTGGGTGAGGATTAAAAAAAGAAAAGAAAATATAATTTTTGTATTTTACAGTTTTACTGTTATTGAAGTGACAACTGGAGCAGCCACATAAATGCACTTTCAGGTTGTTAGGAGGAAGTGTATCTACCAGTCCTTCAGTTAAATGAGGAAGAAAATAACAGTGTCCAGCACCTGCCCAGCCAGGCTGTGCAGAGATGAAAGCACGGGCCACCGTGCACAGGCGGGGCTTGCTCACGGTGGGCGGATGACAGTGGGGATGTCTGTAGCTCAAGCAGCCTGACCACTGCACCCATGGCCCAATCCCTCCCTTCCACTGTGAAGGAGCTGACTTCTTAACCGCATCTCAGTCTCCTGGCTCCTGCTTGCCACTTTTCGTTCTGTACTTTTCCTCTCTGTACACCACTCATCTGTCAGTTGATTCTGTGTATCTCACTTTCAGTCTTCCGGAGAGAGGATCTGATTGGTGTTGCCTAGTTACGACTGTTGGGCAAAGCTGCCAGGCCACCTCATCAGCTTCTGCCCATTTTGAAGATGTCTGCCGTACCTTTGCCCAGTTGCTTATTTCTTACTAGAGACCTGGTGCACAAATTTGTGCACGGATGGGGTCCGGGCCGGCCAGGGGGAGGGGCCTCGGACATTGCTGGCCAGCCCCGCCCCCTGGTCAAACTCCCGGTCGAAGGGACAGTTTGCACATTAGCCTTTTATTGTATAGGATTCCTCTAGCTGTGCTGAGAGTGGCAAGTTCATGTGCTATGTAAGCAGAGCAATCTGTGCTTAGGTACTATCTACAGCAGCTTTCCCAGGGGTCCTGTATATGTAGTGAAAAAATATTTGCTATCACAGGAAAATGTTTGTGACCCATTCCTAAGTGACCAAAGCAGACTACAAAAACAGCATTTATGACATGAAACCATATAATGGGGAAGAAATGTGTATGTAACCTTTTGTGTAGAAAGAATAGAAACCCTTCTTATACACTTACTATATGCTAAGCTCTGTTCTCAGTATTTTGCAAATATTGCCTCACTTAATGCTTACCAGACTCTATGAGATAGGAACTGTTTTGTTGGGTTTTTTTTTTTAATTAAATCTTTATTGTTCAGATTATTACATTTGTTCCTCTTCCCCCCCCCCCCGTAACTCCCCTCCTCCCAGTTCCCACCCCACCCTCCGCCTTCACTCCCCACCCACTGTCCTCATCCATAGGTGCACGATTTTTGTCCAGTCTCTTCCCGCATCTCCCACACCCCTTTCCCCCCCAAGAATAGTCAGTCCATTCCCTTTCTATGTCCCTGATTCTATTATAATCACCAGTTCATTCTGTTCATTAGATTATTCACTTGATTCTTAGATTCACTTGTTGATAGATGCATATTTGTTGTTCATAATTTGTATCTTTACCTTTTTCTTCCTCTTCCTCTTCTTAAAGGATACCTTTCAGCATTTCATCTAATACTGGTTTGGTGGTGATGAACTCCTTTAGCTTTTCCTTATCTGTGAAGCTCTTTATATGACCTTCAATTCTGAATGATAGCTTTGCTGGATAAAGTAATCTTGGTTGTAGGTTCTTGCTATTCATCACTTTGAATATTTCTTGCCACTCCCTTCTGGCCTGCAAAGTTTCTGTTGAGAAATCAGCTGACAGTCGTATGGGTATTCCCTTGTAGGTAACTGACTTTATTTCTCTTGCTGCTTTTAAGATTCTCTCTTTGTCTTTTGCTCTTGGCATTTTAATTATGATGTGTCTTGGTGTGGTCCTCTTTGGATTCCTTTTGTTTGGGGTTCTCCGCGCTTCTTGGACCTGTAAGTCCATTTCTTTCACCAGGTGGGGGAAGTTTTCTGTCATTATTTCTTCAAATAGGTTTTCAATATCTTGCTCTCTCTCATCTTCTGGCACCCCTATAATTCTGATGTTGGTACGCTTGAAGCTGTCCCAGAGGCTCCTTACACTATCCTCGCATTTTTGGATTCTTTTTTCATTTTGCTTTTCCGGCTGGGTGTTTTTTGCTTCCTCGCATTTCAAATCATTGACTTGATTCTTGCGCTCCTCTGGTCTGCTGTCGGGAGTCTGTATAATATTCGTTATTTCAGTCCGTGTATGCTTAATTTCTAGTCGGTTCCCCAATATAACATCGAGGGTCTCATTAGTTTTCTTGTAGATCTCATTAAGTTTATCGGCGGCTTCTAAACAGTTCTTGAGAGACCTTAAAAGTGTGGTTCTGAACTCTATATCTTCCATTGACAATTTTGTCCTGTTTCTTTGTCTCCGCATTTTGTTATGCTTCCTTGGTGCACCCCCTAGTGGTCTTTGTGCCCAGTCTTATAGTTAAACCTTGATTGTTGTAGCTAATACCAGGGAGGGTTTGACCTCCAGGCCAAGTGGCTATGAGAATCAGCTGTGTGTGCAGTGAGAGAACTTCTGTCCTCTAGGGAGGTGCTAATCTAGCCTTTGCCTGAGGCTATCCGGCAAATGCCTGTGTGCAGGGCTTGAGCGGGGCGGGTCGCACAGGATCAACAGGGTGGGCCGGAGAGAGCAGTTATGGCGGCTCTCAGTCCTGTCCCCAGGGGCTCTGCCTCTCTGAGTCCCAGCACCCGCTGCAAAGCTCGGAGAGAAAGCTGCACTCGCTCTGACCGAAGCCAGACAGTCCCGCTTCTCCCGTTTGAGTCTGGGTCCCTAAAGACTCGCCCGTATCTGGAGCTCAGAGTCTGCGACTCCCTCCCGATTGAAAACGCCAACCGCGCCCTCCCCCGCCAGCCCGCTCCGCGGACTCCGCACCTCAGAATTTGACTTCAGCACTGCGCCTCCTCTGAGTGTCTGTATGCGTTTCTCTTTCCTCCTAGTTGTAGGACTTCCACTCAGCCAGCGTTCCTGTGGTTCTGGGTGATGTCGGTTCCGTTTTTTAGTTTCACTTTTGAAGTAGTTGTTCAAGGCAGCAAACTCCGGCGTTAACCTATGCCGCCATCTTGGTTCTCCTTTTTTTTTTTAATAGATTCTTACTACATTTCCTGCCGTTTTCTTTTCTTTTTTTTTTTTTTTAAATATATTTTATTGATTTTCCATAGAGAGGAAGGGAGAGAGATAGAGAGAGTTAGAAACATGGATGAGAGAGAAACATCGATCAGCTGCCTCCTGCACATCTCCCACTGGGGATGTGCCCGCAACCCAGGTACATGCCCTTGACCGGAATCGAACCTGGGACCATTCAGTCCGCAAGCTGACGCTCTATCCACTGAGCCAAACCGGCTTCGGCACTTTGAATATTTCTTGCCATTCCTTTCTGGCCTGCAAAGTTTCTGTTGAGAAATCAGCTGACAATCGTATGGGTATTCCCTTGTAGGTAACTGAGTTTCT